TAATTTGCGGCAGCGAGGATGGTTGGAGTTGCTTAAGGATTATGATATCACCATTTTCTATCATCCTGGGATGGCCAATGTGGTGGCCGATGTCTTGAGTCGTAAGGCGGAGAGTTTAGGTAGCTTAGCATATTTACCGATAGCAGAGAGGCCTTTAGCCTTGGATGTTCGAGCCTTGGCCAACCAGTTTGTTAGATTGGATATTTCCGAGCCGAGTCGAGTTTTGGCTTGCGTGGTTTCTCAGTCTTTTCTTTATGATCGTATCAGGGAACATCAATATGCTGACCCCCATCTGCTTATCCTTATGGACACAGTTCAGCACGGTGATGCCAAGGAAGTCATTATTGGAGATGACGGTGTACTATGGATGCAGGGCAGGCTATGTGTACCCAATGTAGGTGGCTTGCGTGAGTTGATTCTCCAGGAGGTTCATAGTTCGCGGTACTCCATTCATCCGAGTGCTGCAAAGATGTATCAGGACTTGAAACAACACTATTGGTGGAGGCGGAGGAAGAAAGACATAGTGGAGTATGTATCTCGGTGTCTAAATTGTCAACAGGTGAAATATGAGCATCAATGACCAGGTAGATTACTTCAGAAGTTAGAGATTCGAGAATGGAAATGGGAGCAGATCACTATGGATTTCGTTGTTGAGCTCCCACACACTCAGCAGAAGTTTGATGCAGTTTGGGTGATTGTGGATAGGCTGACCAAATCAGCTCATTTCATTCCTGTGATTACTACTTACTCTTCAGAGCAGCTGGCTCAGGTATATATTCGTGAGATTGTCAGACTTCACGGTGTACCAGTATCTATCATCTCTGACCGGGGGTACACAATTTACCTCACGGTTTTGGAGGGCAGTACATCGTGAGTTGGGTATTCAGGTAGAGTTGAGTACAACATTTCACCCTTAGACAGATGGGCAGTCCGAACGCACTATTCAGATACTTGAGGATATGCTTCGTGCGTGCGTGATAGATTTTGGGGGGTGCTTGGGATCAATTCTTACTACTTGCGGAGATTGCTTATAACAACAGTTACCAGTCAAGCATTCAGATGGCTCCGTATGAGGCATTGTATGGTAGGCAGTGCCAGTCTCCAGTGGGTTGGTTCGAACCAGGAGAGGCTAGACTTTTGGGTATAGACTTGGTTTAGGATGCCTTGGAAAAGGTTAAGTTGATTTAGGATCGACTTCGTACAACCCAATCTAGACAGAAGATTTATGCGGATAGGAAGGTTCGTGGTGTTGCATTCATGGTTGGTGAGCGAGTATTGCTCCGGGTTTCGCCTATGAAAGGGGTGATGAGGTTCGAGAAGAAGGGAAAGTTGAGCCCTAGGTATATAGGGCCTTTTGAGATTCTTGAGAGAGTTGAAGAGGTGGCTTACAAACTTGCACTACCACCTAGTCTCTCTGCGGTTCATCGGGTATTCCATGTTTCCATGCTTCAAAAATATCACGGCGATCTGTCTCATGTGTTAGACTTTAGTTCGGTTCAGTTGGACAACGATCTATCTTATGTCGAGGAACCAGTGGCTATTTTGGATAGGCAGGTTCGAAAGTTGAGGTCAAAGAACATTACTTCCGTAAAGGTTCAGTGGAGGGGTCATCCGGTCGAGGAGGCAACTTGGGAGACCTAGCATGATATGCGCAGCCGTTATCCACACTTATTCACCTGCTCAGGTACTTTTTCTAACTTCGTTCGAGGACGAACGTTTGTTTTAGAGGTGAAGAATGTGATGACCCAAAATGTCATCTTTAAATTTAATAATTAATTATGTATTCTAAGACCTCCAAAAGCACTATTTATCATTCCTCGACTTGAGTGCGCAGTCCATAAAATTTTCTGGAAAAGTTTTATGTGAAAAATGGATTAAAATATGAATTAGAACTTTAAAACTCAACTAAGTTGACTTTGGTCAACAATTTGAGTAAATGGACTCGGATCAGTATTTTGACAGTTCCGATAGGTCCATATCGTGAATTGGGACTTGGGCGTATGCCCGGAATCAAATTCCGAGGTCCCTAGCCCGAGATATAGAATTTTGAAGAAAAATTAAAAGTTTAAATTCAAATAACGACCAGATGTCGAATTATGTGCAAACGACCCCGCAATAGAATTTTGATGATTCCAACAGTTCTGTATGGTGATTTTGGACTTAGGAGCGTGATCGAAATTTTATTTGGAAATCCGTAGTGAAATTAGGCTTGAAATGACTAAAATAAGAATTTAAAGTTTGGAAGTTTGACCGGGGAGTTAACTTTTTGATATCGGGGTTGGAATTGAGTTTTAAAAATTTTTACAGCTCCGTTATATCATTTATGACTTGTGTGCAAAATTTGAGGTCAATCGGACTTGATTTGATAGGTTCCGGCATCGAACGTAAAAGTTAAAAATTCTTAGTTTCATTAAGCTTGAATTGAGGTATGATTCGTGATTTTAGCGTTGTTTGATGTGATTTAGAGGTTCGACTAATTTCGTATGATGTTTTAGGACTTGTTGGTATATTTGGTTGAGGTCCCGATGCCCTAGGGTGAGTTTCGGATGGTTAACAGATCAAAAGTTGGATTTTAAAACAAATTGTGCAATTTTTCCTTTCTGTTGGAAATTCTGGCCCAAAATCGAGCTCCCAAAAATTGAGCTCCCAAGATCGAACTAGACAGATCGAGCTCCCAAGATCGAACTGGACAGATCGAGCTCCCAAGATCGAACTGGACAGATTTGTAAGTTATAAAAATAGAGGCATTCAACCCATTTGCCATTTTTGACAAACTTAAGCTTGAATAGAGGTGACTTTTGACAAATTTTCAAGGAAAGACATTTGGGGTAAGTGATTCCAACTCATATTTGGTCTATATACACAAATATATCATTGTTTTCGCCATTTAATTAGTGTTTTGAGATTGAAATTTGAAATTTTTTAGAAAATCTCATAGAAATGAATTTTTGATATTTCGGTATCGATTTGGAGCCGGATTTGAGTGAAACTGGTATGGTTGGATTCGTAATTGAATGGGTTGTCGGATTTTGTGAGTTTCGCCGGATTCCGAAGCGTGGGCCACATGCGATTTTTGAGCTAATTTCGGATTTTATTGAAAAATGTAGTGTTTTCTTATGAAATTGATTCCTATAATTTTTGTTGACTGTATCGAATTAATTATGACTAGATACGAGTCGATCAGAGTCGTAAATCGAGGAAAAAGCATAATACTTGATTAAATTGGAGCAAGTCGAGGTAAGTGACTTGTCTAACCTTGTGTGGAGGAAATTTTCCCTATAATTAATATGAATGTGATTATTGAAATGTGTTGAAAGTCGTGTATACGAGGTGATGAGTGTGTACACTGGCTAAATATGAAAGGTTATATTTTTAAATTGTGTAGATCATTGTTGCACATTTATTAAATTATTTTATCTTGTTATATTCTTCATCATTTATCTGAGATATATACTTTAAATTTGCTTGACCTTTTCCTGCTAATTGTTTCACCTGTTTAATTGAAACTTGATTTCTTTTATACTGTGCATTATTTGAAGATTGATTTTTATTAAATTAAATATTATTAATATGAAGTATTTGACATCTTAAATTTGATATTGAAGCAACGTATTAAAGGTTTTGAAATATTAGTTTTCCTGAATATTTTCGTAAGATTTTTGGCACTCATTGTGATGGAGCCGTGAGCTCTTTATTGTAGACAAATATTATTGTTGGATTATTTTGGCATGAGCAGTGGGCTCTTTATTATTGCAAAATATTGTTGTCGATTTATTTTTGAAAAAATCGAAATATTGGGCACTTGAGGTGCAAATTGTGATATTGATACACATGCGGTGGTATAAGATCTGAGTATTGAAACGCATGCGGTGAGATAAGGGTGGCTTGATACGCGTGGCTAGTAGAGGTGACTACTAGAAGTCATGCGGTATGATAAGGGTGGCTAAAACACGAGAGGCTATTTCGGAAAAAATACTTTTCTTTAAATAAATTGTGAAGGCTCCCGCGGTGATATAAGAAAATGAGATATTGTGAATTTATTTATGATTTGGGACTACGAGGCGGTAGCTCGGTAGTGCCCTTGTAGATATTGATTTATGGCCATAGTTGCCTTCAATTAATTGTTGTGATTTTCATAAAGTTGAAAGGAATTATGTTTTGATTCCACGAGATATTATTTGAAATTATTTGGTGTCATTAAATATGACATACTATTTGATTCATTTCTACCGTCATTTTATCTTATTAAATTGTTTAAATATTTTTCCATGTCATTATCTATTCTCCAGTAGGCCCTGACCTGACCTCGTCTCTACTCTACCGAGGTTAGGCTTGGCACTTACTGGGTACCGCTGTGGTGTACTCATACTACGCTTCTGCACATCTTTTTTGTGTTGATCCAGGTATATTTTACCAGTCTAGACGTCAGTGAGTTACCTGCGCACGGAGACTTCGAGGTATATCTGCCAGCGTCCGCAGACTCCGGAGTCCCCTTCTATCATTTTATGTTGCTTCCTTATTTTTTTTAGACCTTGATACATAGAAACATTATTTGAATTGTAGTTTATTTATTTCAGATATTTGTGATTATTCCGCATTTATTAAGCTTACCTAGTTTTAGAGATTAGGTGCCATCACAACCTCCTACGGAGGGAATTTGGGGTCGTGACAATTGCCCCTAAGAACTGGTTTGAATACTACCTTACCTTTCTTCATTGGGATTTTCTTTTGGTTCTTCTTTTTCTTTTCACTTCTTACTGCTATGGATTTAATATCTTTTTCGTTAGTCAAATAAATATCATGATCTTGTTTAGTCTCCAAAGTATGTTGTGGCCCCATTTGGATTGTTTGGCCAGTTCTTTCTTCTCTATTAGCTTCACTACCCAAAGACTTGCCCTTTATTGTATTTTGTGTTTGCTCATCATTTTCTTTGTTGTTCTCTTTTGTAAATAATTCAAGATTTCATTTATTTTCCCCTCTCTCTTCGTTCTTCTCTTTTTTTACTCCACTAATCCCTTCTTCCAGTTGTATATAGTTCTCATCTTTATTGTTTTTCTCTATTTCTAAAGCTTTTTTCTTTTCAAGAATTCTGCAATTCATTAGGTTATGCCCAAGCTTTTTACACTGCTTACTATACTTAGGGATGTTCTCGTATTCGATTTTCTGAGTAAACTCTTTTAACGGTGTGTTCTCATTCTCCAATCCCACATATACAGTGACTATAATATGTTTGAGCAGATCAATTTTCACCCTAACTTTGGCCATACTTGGCCTAGTTTTACCCCATGTCGCAGCATCTAGAGCTTGTGGAGTACCAACCTCACTACAAATTTGTTTGGCATAATGCCAAGTGTGCATATTAAATGTAATGCCATGGAGTAAAACCCATACATGAACAATTGGAATATCTTCATCTGGTATGAAATTCAGTGTCCACTTTTGTAGCCACTTCTGAAGTCCGTCGCTTTCTACAACTCTCTGAATGTAGACCTAGTTTTTTCAATTTGGGGCCTTGGTTTCAAAAATCTTCCAACAAAAGTGAGTCTACATTCTTCAGCCATTACTCTGTAGCAATCCTTGGCTTTGAAGATCACTGCAGGCATTCCATTGTGAGTGATATGCCTAGCAATGACTGGTTCTCTGGGATGGCAGATGGTAGTGATATGAGTAGGTGTAGCAGTGGTGATTGTGGTAGCATATGTTGGAATATTTGCAATTCCTTCAACAATTGGGTTAGCCATAGTAGGAGATTCAGTTTGGTTGGTAGTACGCGCCAGTGCGACTCCGTCCGACAGCGCCATAGGGCAGAGCGTGAAGGTGACGCTCTAAAATTACCGTTTAAGAGTGCCAACAGTTTATTGTACGGAGAATTCCTGTTTTGTCAGGTGATGTTGAATTTGTTAGGCTGGATATTTTTGGTATCAACCTTGAGAATATAATTAGAAGAATGGATAGGGTTGCAGTGGGAGCCTAAAAAAGATAAAAGTGATCAAAGAGTAAATATTTTTTTTTGTTCTAAAAGTTTTAACAATAATTATTAAGACATATTATAATTTTCTTTAACGCGCGGAAAAATTCACTAGTTTCTAAATAAAAAACGCTTCCGTCAATTAGCTCATAGTCAGATGGTTAAAAAGTACACCCTCAAATGACAACCCCAAAAGGGCACTCCAGTCATTTCAAAGAAATGTAAATTGTCTTATCCTCCGCAAAGCATATCATTTTCAGCTTCACATAGAAAAACTGTAGTGAGAGAATGGGAGGGGGAATGGAGTATAACAAGAACAGGTGGATAGAGGAATGGGGAGCGGCGAGGGAGAACCTTGAGCACAACTTCCGCTGGACTCGCCGGAACCTCGCTATTGTCGGTATCTTCGGTATTGCTGTCCCTGTCTTAATTTACAAGGGAATCGTCAAAGAGTTCGTAAGTCCTTTTTTCCCCTTCATTTGGATCGTTTTTGTTTCTGGGTTTTCTTTTAATTCATCATTATGGGTTGCATTCTTTTTTAATTCTTGAATAAGTATATACTGTAGAATCATTTATTGCATTCTCATTTGGTATTGTGATTATCCTGTTTGGTTTTGATTGAGATACTGATTTTTGATTATTGAATAATTTGTGAAAGATTAATCTTTTCCTAGAGAAATATGTGGGAACAAGTATAAAAATGTGAACTTTATCCAGGCCTGTTTGGTTTGACTTATTTAGGAAATTGATTATTAGATAATTGGTTAAAGATTAATCAGTTTCACTGAAACGATGGTTAGTCATATGCTAAAACGTTGAATCTTTTGGAGAGTAACGAGGCGCTGATTGTGACTGATAAAATATATGTTTAAACCATGTAAATTGATCCAAGCCAAAAATGCCCGTATAGTAACCAAACTTTCTGGTGACAATATTGACTTAATTAGTATGTCTAAACCAAAAAGGCTGTTAGATTGAATAGATTATATACTTGGGGATATTGGCCTATCTTCTATGTCATTTTCACTTTAAGAGACACGTTTGTTATGATAAGCTACAAGTGTAGATCAGAATGCAGCAGCCCTGCGATACTGTTTGAGTGATTGATTGATTTTGGTGGTCTTTTTTTTCATCCGCAGTTGATTTTAGTAATGTCGCTCCGGAGGGTTGCTTTCTGTTATTGGCTTTATATTCATATAGCCGACCCCAACTTGTTTGAGATTGACGTGTAGTAGTTGTTGTTATTGTTGTTAGTGCTAATGTGAATGTAGTGAAGATAATGTGAATGTAGTGAAGATAAGATGCCTTTATGTTTTGCTGCCTTTGCATGACATTAGGGTCACGAAGACTAATATGTTCCTCCTATGCTCGGCAGTGAAACCTGGGACCTAACGCAGACCGTGCTTATATGCACTTTAGAAGAAATCTAGAATCTAAAACAAACTGTAAAAGTTCTAAAATGTGGACATTGAGAGTACATAAACAGTAAATTGATCATAGTTCGTGATACACTTTGACTAGTGAGAAACATGTTAAATAATTAAGTGGTGTAAATATGCATGTGATATTTGAGCATTATGCAGCAATTAGGCCACCACCTTCTTTTTTTTTTCTTTTTCTTGAAAAGGATCAGGACACCACCTTATTAGCCATACATGCCTGAAGAATGGATTGTGAAGTAATGTTTTCTTGCTTGTATTAGTAAAAATTGGAAAGCTAAAGATGTAGTGGTGGTCATTCCATCTTCTTCTTATCACTTTTCTCTTACTTTAGGATCAACTGGTTCAAGGGTTCTAATTGTTTGACCTAAAAAGGAACTCCTAGTGCTTTTCAGATTGCTCTAATCCCAACTTATATTTGTATCGCCTCTTTCAGTCTCCTGTCTTTTACTAATAGACTAATGGAGCTCGTCTTGTCCAAGATGGTAATACACATTCCTCCTATGTATTGAAACCTGTGCAGTAGAGAATTCTTTGCCTCGAGCAGTTAGCCCGTTTATTGAGTTTTTATCTTGAATAACTAAAACTCAAGAGGGGTTGCTCTGATGGTAAGCAACCTCCACTTCCAACCAAGAGGTTGTGAGTTCGAGTCACCCCAAGAGCAAGGTGGGGAGTTCTTGGAGGGAAGGATGCCGAGGGTCTATTGGAAACAGCCTCTCTACCTCGTGGTAGGGGTAAGGTCTGCGTACACACTACCCTCCTCAGATCCCACTAGTGGGATTATACTGGGTTGTTGTTGTTGTTGTTGTTGTTGTATCTTGAATAACTAAACTCCCACTTCTGTCAGCGATGTAATCACCCGACATTTTGGAGCACCGTTTTTTTTTTGATAAGGTAAATTGTATTAATCAAAAGGGAGAAAAAACTCCCGTATACAAGTGGTATACCAAAAAGTAGAGAATTTACATCAGAACATGATTCTCTACAAAAGACACCCAATCTTCTACACAAATAGGGGCTATATGGGTACACCAAAAAGTGATCAAAGATAAAAGACTATTCTTAAGATGTGAAAAAGGAGACTCAATCCCCTCAGAAACTCTCCTATTTCTCTCCCCAAACTGTCCACATGAGAGCTAACAGGGCTAACTTCCACGCCTTTTGCTTGCTTCTTCTACGAAAACTGCCCTAGCTATATAGCATTTCCTTTACAGTGTTTGACATCACCTATTGAACACCAAAAAGATTCAGGATTGCCCTCCACATACCCGAGGACACAGGGTAATGCAACAGAAGAAGATCAACTTCTTCCCCTGAGCTTTTACACATGTAGCACCAACTAACAAGTGTAATTCCTCTCTTTCGTAGATTTTCCGTTGTCAAGATCACTCCCCTCGCCGCTAGCCATGCAAAAAAGCACACCTTCGTGGGCGCCTTAGGAATCCAGATCGAGGAGTATGGAAAAGTAGCCTCTTCTCTCACCAACATACTCTGGTAAAAGGACTTTACGGTGAACAAACCATCGCCACACAACCCCCATCTCCAAGAATCACAAGATGGATAGGGCCTGTCTTGCCCGTATAGCAGTGCCAATAAATTTTGGAGCTCCGCAATCTCCCAATCTTGCATGTTCCTTCTAAAAGAGAGGTCCCATACTATCCCCCTTCATGCTCCTTGCGAATCTGTTGGACCATCCATTCCTTCTGGTTTGAAACTCTGAAGACGTGGGGGCAAGAGACCCTCAGAGTATCCTCTCCACACCACCTGTGATTCCAAAAGCTGATTTTCCTTCCATCTCCCACCCTGTAAGTGATGTTGCCATAGAAAGCTTCCCAGTTCTTCATGATGCTCCTCCACATGCCACACCCGAACGGTGCTGTGATTGCCTTGGTCCTCAAACCCCCTCCCGTGGAATCGTACTTTTCTACTATGATCTCCCTCCATAGAGCATGCTCTTCTACCCCGAATCTCCACAGCCACTTCCCCAGCAAAGCTCTGTTGAATACCCTAAGATCTTTTACTCCAACTCTCTGCCCCACTTTTTTGAGGAAGTGACTGTCTGCCATTTCACTAGATGAAACTTTCTAGTTTCATCCGCCGCATCCCAAAGAAAATTCCTTTGAAGCCGCTCCAGTTTTTCTGTGATGCTCACAGGAGCTTGCAACAGGGACAAGTAATAGGTAGGGATACTCGACAAAGTGTTTTTGATAAGCACTTCCTTACCGCCTTTTGACAAGTACCGTTTCTGCCAGCCTGCTAATCTTTTTTCAGCCTTTTCAATGACTGGATTCCAAACCATAGTATCCTTGTGCAAAGCACCCAATGGTAGACCCAGGTAAGTAGTGGGAAGAGAGCCCAATTTACATCTGAGAACATGGGACAAGGCATCAATGTTAGCGACCTCACCCACCGGAAAAATCTCATACTTGCCGAGGTTGATTTTGAGTCCTGATACTATCTGAAACTACTGCAGGACCTGCTTCAGACAGGTCAACTGGTCCATATCGGCATCACAGAAAACCAGGGTGTCATCCGCAAAAAGCAAATGAGAGACTCTTCGGGCACTGAACACCCCGATCGGAGCTGAGAATCCTCTCAAGAAGCCTCCACCCGCCGCACGATCCATCATTTTACTCGGAGCATCCATCACTAGAATAAATAGCATGGGGGATAGGGGGTCACCTTGCCTGAGACCCCTGGAGCTGCCAAAGAAACCACACGGGCTACCATTAACCAGGACAGAGAATCTGACTGAGGAAATGCAGAACTTGATCCATCCCCTCCATCTTTCCCCAAACCCCATCCGCATCATAATGAAATCCAGAAACTCCCAATTGACATGGTCGAAAGCCTTCTCAAGGTCCAACTTGCACAGTAAGTCGGGTTCTCTATTTTTCCTTATGGAGTCTACAAGTTCATTTGCCACCAAAGTGCTTACCTTCCACAAACGCATTCTGGGAGGACGAAACATACACGTCAAGAACCTTCTTGAGTCTGTTGGAGAGCACTTTAGAAATAATCTTATAAATGCTCCCCACGAGACTGATAGGCATGTAGTCTCTGATACAAGATGCGCCTTCTTTCTTAGGCACAATAGTAATAAAAGAAGCATTGATACTTCTCTCGAAAACACCATTCACGTTTGGAGCACCGTTTCTTTCGGAAGTGTTTGAATGACGCCAAATTATGTTGATATCATATTACATTTTTCTTTCATCATCTTGGGGTGATAAGCTGTGGTTTTTGGAAGGCGGTCTTGTGCATATCATGACTTCAGTTGCATTACTTAGGGCAATGCTAATTAGATCCATTCCATGTCTATTAGTTAGTACATACAAACTAACTGGTTTTCAGTTCTTTCCTGTTGAGTATAAACAAGGCAGTGAGCAAAAAAGTACTACAATGGGGTATACAAAGTAGGACAGATTTCATAATCTGCACCTCATTGTTCTTCTTGCATGTCAACAAGTTCTGTTCTTCAATCTTTTAAGACACTACTGTAAATTAAATAAAATTTACAGTTTTTGGTATTAATTAAAATCAGCCAAACCTTTTTTGGTACTTTTTTTATATTTAGCAATTGGTTATCTTTTTGGCATCCGATTTTCAGTCATTTCTTAGGCATTCGCAATGCGAACATTCATACTTGGTGGAAAGCTGGAAACAGAACAAGATTTATATTAAATGAAGTTTCAACGAATCATTAGCGCTCAAATTTGATTTTTGAAAGGTTAATGTTTTGCAGTTTTCTGTTGTTTTTGTGCCAGGTTGAAAATTTTCTTTAATGGAATTGTTGATGCTTTTATTTCAGTTTAATTTTATGTTTATCTGAAATGGAAAGGGATGAGAAAAGGAAAGTGATATGAGAAGAGGGTTGTGTGATTGAAAGGGAACTTAAAAAAGTTACTTGCAAAATGTAGTTCAAAATCAAATCAGCCTGAACTCTATTTCTTTTGATGGTTGGTTTTCAGTAAGGCGGACTGAAAATTTTATCAAGCGAGTCAGGAGAATGAACAATTAGAGTTCTATTGATTAGCATGACTGGACTAATTTGGCCTACATTTACGTTTGGAAATATTGGACACCTCATTGTCTTTATCTTTCCTTTTTTTCCCCATTAAATTTCTTTTGTTGTATGTCATGAGAACTAATTGATTGGAATTTTTAGAAAAAGAGAAATAGTCGATCCAAAGGTGCTTGTTAGAAGTTTTTTTCAATTGAAAGGTTTGCAATGAATCATAAGATGAATATCAAATAGTAAAAAGACCAAAAACCTTGGAAGGAATAAAATGCCCAAAACTTCAACAATCAGAAACTTTCACAACAATCGGAATTTGACCTCCTGTGCCTGTGAATTAAAGAAAGGAGGAGGTCAATCAAAAAAAAAAAGAGATGTTAATTAATCAAAGGTCCAACTGATCACCACGCCTGTATTGTAAATATGCAGTTAGGAATAATCCAGCCAAAGTAATAGGAATTAGACCTAACACGATTCCAAATAGNAATTCCAAATAGAAAAACTTCAATCATTCTTCTTTGTTTGAAAGGACAAAAAAAAAGAGGTAATATTTATACCTAAATATTAATCTGAATTGGTTCAGAAATGACAAATCAAAACAAGTTTGATAGGCACACTTTTGACAGAAATTTGAAAGGACGAAGTAGATGGCAAACAAGATAAGGGGTCAAACGATATGGAGCAAGGGTGCGGTGCCATGACACGGGGAAGGTTTAGGGAGGATGAGCATGATGAATTTGTATAGAGGACGGGTGGGGGTGGGCGGGCCATGATAGTTGATATCGGAAGTTGCGTTAAATAGTGATTTTCAATTAACAGTATCACTGTTTTCAAAAGGCCTTTCTTTGCAGCACATCCCCAAAACTGAAAATAGGAAAGGGTTGGGATGGCGTAGGGGCTGAGGGTGTAGGAGCGAGTGCGCTTTCATCTTTGCTAAAAAAGAGGGTGAATTGGGCAGGAGAAAGGAAAAAGGTCTTCGAAACAAGTGAAAACACAATCTTTTGAGAAAGAATTAGGCCTTATCTCCAGAACTCTTTCAAAAACTTGATAAGAAAAACAATTACCGAAGAGCTACTGTATATTACTATATTCCTCCTGTTTTGGAATTTGGGGAAAAAAATGTATACGTAAGGTTTTTATGTGCAATCTAATATGTAATTTACTGATAATAGAAAGCAAATCTTAGCTAACTGTTCAGGAAGCTACTGTAGAAATATAGTAATAAGAGTACAGTAATAAAGTTCTTAGGTGCATCGTTGTGTACTGAGTAGACAAGAACATTAATAAAGGTTAGAACATTCAAAGTGCTTACAGTTTTACCTGCACATGAAGGACATACCAACATGTAAAACAAGTGATGTTAGGTTTTCTATCCACGCTGAGGATCTGTTTGATATATGGGAAATTCACTATTTAATCAGGTTGTTGATCTTGATCTTGAATGTTCAAACTCTGCTTTGATTGTGTGGGTCTCTTTTTCCATTGCTTAGTGGCTCCATTAATTTTTTGCCTCCTCTCTGCATCAAACTACATCAATTTTACTTATTTTACAAGGTGTAAATTTATTGAGGCGATTTATAATAACGTACTTGAATTAAGTTTTATTAATATAATATGAATTTTATTTCTTTATAGTACAATATTGTTAATGATTTGTTCATATGTTCACTTTTTAAATGTCGACACCGCTTATTTGTCAAATGCTTCTTTTCCTGGCATAGGTCGAGAGTTCGATTCTACATTTGACTTGTTTTTGTTGCCTAATATTTTGGTCTTTAGTTGTTATAAAAATAATGCTCAAAAGGATCAAACCTCTGACCTATTTAAGGGCGAGTGTTAACTCAACCACTTTGTACTCCTTTCTGTGCCTCATATCAACAAAAGTTAAATATATTCAATGAGGCTATTATTAATATATTTCACAAGGTGTAAATTTATTGAGGCGATTTATAATAATATACTTGAATTAAATTTTATTAATATAATATAAATTTTATTTCTTTTAAAGTACAATATTGTTAATGATTTGTTCATATGTTCACTTTTTGAATGTCGACACGGCTTATGGAAAATCCTGTATACACCCCTGATAGTCTCTACATGTAAAGGAACTACCCTGCAGATAGTCTCTACATGTTAAAGAACTACCCTACCCAAACTATCTCTATTGTTACTTTGCAAAGTTTCATTGTCATTACATTCTACTTTGTAGAGACTTCCCCTCAACCTCAAGTATTTGGATTCAACTTTGCCAGAAAAGATTTCGTCTATCCACATGAGTGAGGTAATTTTCATAAGCAAAATAAAAAAATCATCGAAGAAATATGTCAAATGCAACTTTAGCACGGTGTGAAGACTTCAAAATATAATTTTATTTTCTTCCAAACAAGAGCAAGTTGTACGAAAAGAGAAGATATATAGTGGAAATCACTTGAAGAGAAGAGGAAATTCTATCAGAATTTAGTATCTCCAAAGAGTAAGAAGATCATCTTTGCATGTTGAGGAATTACCCAATCCAAGCAATCTCCATCCTGAGTTACCAAATTTTCATTGACAAGATTTACAATCCATAAACAGAACAATGATCACCGAATAATTATGCTAGATGCAACTTTAGCATTGTGGTTGCCTAAAGGAACTCATTCTATTTCTTTGTCAAATAATATGAAGTTCAGACGGAAAAAAGTGAGGAGCAAAAGTCACCCTGGAAGATCAATAGGAGACTAATAGAATTTAGTAATTCCAAAGAGCAAAGAGGACCATACCTATATGTATATTACCTCAAATATAAACTCACAGTAAGCAGACAGATACATGTGCATACTAAGTTATGCAGAATCACAACTGCAAGTACACATGACATATTTGTACGTAAAGCTAATTTGCGTCTTGATTGATCTCAAGAAGGGAATGCCTAACAAGTGCAGAATCATAGATCTCATACTGCAAATGAAGTGTAAAGACTAAGTCTGAATGCGAATCCTTTTCTTTTCTTTATTAAAGGGATTTTTTGAAATCATAATTTGTATATAACTACAGGAAAACTGCCTAAGAACTTACTTTCAAAGAATTGAGATTGGATAAATTAAAGAACCAATATTAAAAAATCATACTATTTCATCAAACTCACAATTCGCAATTTTTTTGTCTGAAAGAGAACACATAACACGACATATAAAATCAAATTAGTCATCTGAATTGTAGAATTTACAGGCGCGAGAAGACTAAAGCTTTTGATATGGCAGCTCATAATTTAAATGTCTCTTAGCGACTCCTTTTAACCTATCCAATCAAACCATCCTCAAAACTAATTGAATTTGGAAACATATGACATGCTGGAAAGCATGAAATTTCTAATGCCATGGGCAGAGAGTATGCTAATTACAAATCGACAACTTCAGTAGTTTTTTCCCGATAAGTATTAGGAGTAATGGGTTTAGCATCTTCTTACATGCTAAATACGATACAACAACTGACAAATCTGGCAAAGAAAATGTTAAATGCCGAGAACAAAATGTCATCTTATCTGCTAAGCACATCTGTTGCTCTCATCTAATCAGACTAGACTTGAATCTAAAGAAAAGTCAATTTACCAAATAAAATAACCAACAACAACAACCCAATGGAATCACACAAGTGGGGTCTGGGGAGGGTAGTGTGTACGCAGACCTTACCCCTATTTATGAAGGTAGAGAAGTTGTTTCTGAAAGACTTTCGGCTCAAGAACGTAAAAAAAAAATGGAACAATAGAGAAACAATA